TGCAGTATGATTGCAGAATATACGTTATAGGCTGACTCTATTCGGCTGAGAATCGAACCGGACTTCGATGAAAGATTGAGCTGAGTGGGAGGAGAAAGATAAATTGAAAGTCAAGATGCCTTTTCAACTTCCTCCACGTTCTAGGCTCGATCCTAAGAGACCCTTTTACCTCACCAGAACAAAAAGAATGCCACCATTTTCGACATTTTATATTTCCGAGGAGTCATTGGCGTTGGGAAATGAGACAGATGATACTGTCGATAGGAAAAATGTTAAAGAAAATGAGCCAGCGATTCCTACAGAATGGTCTCTCAGTGTATTACCTAGTGGCCGACGATATCCAGGGAGTACTATTAGGTCCTCGATTAGGGGCCGACGAGATCCCCAGTCTGATGAAGAGTCCTTAACAGGAGCTAGCCGAAATCAATACAGGAATATAATCAAGTACCCATTGCCCAGTCCTTTGTCGCCGCACCTTGCAGAGAACAGGAAACTATGGATCAAGATGTTTGTGGTCTTTTGTGTGCTTTTGATCACTACGATAATGGGCACAATGTCTATATACTGGGGGGGTGACCATTCATTACAATACAACATACCCGTCTTAACCATCGCAGTCATCGATTTTGATCATTCGGAAATCGGCAATTATCTCCAGGATATGGCGACAGCGGCACGAGCCAAAGACTACGACCACTCGCTGGGGTTCGTGAACCAAGATGGAACTTCCACGTATGGAAACATGGATAATGTTCGCGCGTCCTTGCACGATCAGAAATTCTGGGTGGGCATCGTAATAACGGAGAATGCTACGAATGCCATGAATCATGCGTATGAAATTGGGGACGAGTCGTACGATCCGAATAGTGCAATTCATGTTTTCTACGAGGAAGCTAGGAATGCACTCGTTATTGGAGGAGCGGTGTACCCGAAGTTACTCGATTTTTTAAACGAGTTCGTACTTGAGTTCTCGAAGCAGAAGCAGAACACTTTTCTGCAGGGAATAGATGGGTCGGATATGGACGCTTTGCAGAGACAAGTTCGAAATCCTGTTGCAGCAGGATTTACGGTATTCAACATGGCACCGGCAATACCATCGGTTCGTTAATCTTTTACTTCAGACCTTTTTCTTGACTCTTGTTTCAATACTAAAATGCTTGGATACAGACAGCCGAAGCCGCGACCGAGATTGGAACGATCTGTACGTATCTACCACAACTTTATTAATCCTGTCATCTAGTAGAAAGAGAAGTCTTACTAACTCGTCCAAAACCAGACCTTATTATCGTTTCTTTTCTCTCCGTTCTCATGTTCGACAAACTCAGCGATACAATCATGGGAACAATTCCCATGAACATCTACTACATCTATCGTCTAGCCGTCCTCCCTATCGTCTTTCTCTTCCTCTCCCTCTTCTACCTAACGCTCTCATGCATGTGGCACATACCATTCTCTCTTCACTTTGGACCAGCCGGCTATTCCCTCTACTGGATGCTCTCCTGGATCTCCATGATGGCCTTCGGTCTCACGATCGAAAACGTCAACAACATTCTCGGCATGCCTTTCACACCCGTTTTCTTCGTCTTCTGGGTCATCTCAAACGTGACCACCGGGTTCTATCCCACCGAGATGCTCAACGATTTTTACAAGTGGGGAATCGTGTGGCCCTTGAGACATGATATGATGGGTGCGCGCGCAATCATTTATGGGACGAAAAATACATTGAGACAGAATTTTGGGGTGCTGATTGGATGGGTGTTGATTAGTTTACTGTTGATGCCGGGGACGTTGTGGGTGCAGATGAGGAAGAAAAGAGCGATACGAGAGGAGAAAAGTAGGGTGATACTGGAGAAAGTTTGGGGGGCTCCGGGAAAGGAGAAGGGCGGGAGGTTAAAGTTGCCGAAGCTAAGTCCGCCGAGTTGAAAGGATTGCGACGTGTTGTGATAAGATGAGATCAGATGAGATGAGCTATTTAGCGTTTAGAGAACTTTTCTTTTACATGCTTGCATATGTGCATGTTCAATTCGCAGGCGTAAGAAATGATCGGTGTGATATTGATATTGGGGAAAGGGTGCATGACAATTGTCAAAAAAAAAATGTGATTACAATTTCATTCGTACGTTGACATGAAGCAGAAATCAAAACTAGAAATTAAATATCGATAGTCTTGTAATGCCCATCTTGAATCGAAAATTCTCTGGCAAATTTGAGGCAAAATCGTTTGTGCGCAAATCCTGCTTGCTTTATAACTTCTTCTGTTAGGCATTTGGACTAGTGGCTGCTATACATAGCATAGCCACCTCAAATCAGCCGCAACTCCTGTATCATAGCCGATCTGAGCATCGCACATCTGAATTTCGTTTTCAATCCCAAAGAAATCAGTAGCATACGTCTCTGCCAAGTCACCCTGCGCTCCCATTTCCCCTGGAATTGTCTGATCATTCGTAAGCACCGGCTGCGATGGTGACTGGAAATCAGTACTAGTTTCGCCTTCGCGAGACTCTCGGTTGAATGGCCCGATGGTCATTAGCTTCTCAACGTATATATTGTCACTGTCCTTTTGGGCTTTTAGCAGTTGCTGCCGATACAGATTGATCGCTGTGTTGAACCGAAGAAGGATATCATGGTATTGTTCGGCTTGGGGACTTAATCGGGCAAGCTTCTTAAGCACAGTACAAGCATGATCGAAGGATCTATGAATATGAGTCGGGGCTTCGCCTTCTACGAGGAGGGAGAAACCGAGTACAAGTCCAGCGGAAAAAAGCCAAGCTTTAAGGATACACATATTGTCAAGCAGGACATTACCGAAAAATGCTTCGTACGATAGCTCTACCATCAAATGTGCAGATTGTACACAAGCATCCGAGAATTGAACAATCTTCTCCCTTTCACTAGGACTTATTGGCGGTACCTCGTTGGTTCTCTTAGACTTGCTAGAATTATTCCTCCGTAGTTGAAACATGACATGTGAGATGAGGAATTGTCGTGTTACCATCATGATGCCTACATAATAAGTGCATGAAACATGGATATTGCCAATCGTAGTCTCACAATAGTCACCTTCGAATGCCGGGTCAGGAACGCTGCGAAGTGCTGAAGGTAGGGCCTGACTCCATTCTCGCAGCATCTGAAGATAAGTATCGGCGGACTGCACGTCGACGCGACTAGATTTGGCAAACTTGTGTACGATGGTTTCGATGATAGATGAAGATTCGTAGGTAGCATAAAGAGCCAATGTTCGATGATCCATATCTTCAGGGTTTGAGCTATCTATCTCGTATTCGTCTCTTTCTATTGATGGTATACTACTAGGACGTGCAAGAATGGAGCTGCATAGCAAATCAAGAACACGTGAGCTCATCCATATGCGGCGCCTGCCGATACAGTTAGCGAATGCGAGATATTCCATAGAGTTGTAGATGCAAGCCTACCTAGCAGCACGCTCTTCGGGGGATACACGAGGATGTTGATATGGAACGTGCAACCCAAGAATAGTTGCAGATTTGGAGGCAATGCCGATGTACATAAAAGCTGTGTTTCTGCGGCATGCCCCGAGCATATACATTGCCATCAATAAGAACAACTTGACCATAGATAACGAAGGATTCTCCAGCATATCAAGAAAGGCCATTTGCTGGGCTTGAGCAAAATACTTTTTCGCAAGTTGAATCTCGGACAGGTCCTTGCCTCGAGATTGAGCCCCTATTGCTATCATCAGAAAAAGACAAGCGAGATCTTCTCGTTGTGAGCGGGAGCTCGGAGAAGAATTGGCAGCATCGGTTTTGATGGCCAACAATTTAGATATATCATCTCGTGAAAAGAGATGAAGAATACCATTCGACTAAGCAAGGTGTAAAGTTAGTGTCTTGTACCTAGGTAGCTACGGGAAAGAACCAAACTTAGGGCCCTACCACTCTCATAAAGCAAGCAATTAGATTTTGCTTTTCTTCGAGATCTAAATAATCTTCAAAGGGGCTATTGTTTCTAGAAATCTCGACTTCTAACATCACATTGCTCTCCCGGCGTTCAGTGAAAACGGAAGTTCCAATATATCGCTTAAGTGTAGTTTGAAGAAAGTGTAGAAACGAGATAGCAGCAATATTACCAATATAAACTATCGGATATGTCAGCTCTGGCTTATCCTTGCATCAAAAAATTCTGAAGAGAAGGAATCGCCGCCAACCTTGTTCGCCTTGGGAGCTCTGTAACATTGTAGAACGCTGACATGGTGATGATTCACGAGTGCTAGCCCGCGTGGTGTTTCGACTATTGGTGTTCTCGCCCGAAAGAAGTGGGTCCACCGATGGCTCAAGACGCTGGGTGGAAGCGGCATCAATAGTTTGCCTTGAAGACTGGACATTCCTCTCTTCGGGAGGGGGTTGCCCAGACTGAACTTGAGTCAAAGTCGGGGAATTCACATTTCTGGTAACGTGATCTAGTGAATGTCCCGATGCTCTTTGCCGTCGGGGACTGGGAGAGGATAGGGGAGAAGATGGCGGATATCGGCATGAATCGGTGCGGCCTTTTGTTACACATGACAAACAAGGGAGGTTTGCATCGCACCGCTTCTTTGAATTTTTGCAAGGAACGCAAGCTCTCGCCGCGCGGGCTCGTTTGTCGGGATGTACTCTTGGGCGAGGCATTGCCGGCGGAACATTACCGCGTAATTTGTTCGGGGATCATGAGCGACTTCTCCACCGCTATAAGTCTCCGTCGCCTTGATTGAATTTGCTGCGAAAGTACGATATGGATGGATTGATACCAATCACCAAGCCAATAATTATGTGTCGGAAGGAATGTTATTGATGTGAAATCGGAAAGAATCTCTCTGTTTCGGAAGAGGGACTGTGTAGAAGGCCCTCAAAGTGGGGTACGGGTGTCGTTATTATGAATTATAGATATTTAGCTGTAGATTGCTTATCTTTCCCCGATTATAAGCAGGTAATTTGATCAAAAGGTGGGGTTAGAGAATGTTATCAACAGAATATAGAACTAGCCGGGTACATCCCGCTGCGTGTCGGATCAACCGCTCTTTTCCTCTCGTGTCGGCAACGTCAAACATGACTATAGCGAGACAAAGATATTCATTGATAGGAGATCCTCGATAACTAGAGCGAATGTTCGGTCAATTATTGGGGCTCTTGAGCCCAATAGTCTATGATGATATCTATGTCTTATCTTAGAACACCGATGGCACCGGGCCGTATGAAGACATGACGATCTATTGTACTACTTGATATGCACCGTCTTGGCTATTGATCATATATATATATATATCCGTTCACAATTCTCAACATACTTCTATCATTCAACTAAGTCACAGCTCAACTTACACATCCTTGATCTAAAGTATTCATTAAACATATCGATCTAGTGAGCGGCTATTATCCACCAAATTTATATATTCTTGGTTAAGATCCTCACAAAGAAACAACCCTTTCGTTTTCTTTCCTACTCTAGAAAGCGAGATTAGAAGATTTAGTCTCACAACAAAAATGCCCGCTCAATCTGGATTCAGGTCGTTGGATGTTGGTGTCGTAGGGGGTGGAATTGGAGGGTTGAGTACTGCTATTGCTTTGCGTCGTGCTGGACATCGAGTCACAATATACGAACGGGCTGATTACGCTGGAGAAGTTGGTGCTTCAGTATCTTGCGCTGCTAATGGCACAAAATGGTTACATGAGTGGGATGTCCCGGTTGAGAAGGGAGATCCTGTCATCTTGAAGAAGCTAATTCGACGTGATTGGAAAACTGGAGAGCCTGATTCTGTGTATGATCTCGACGATTATGAAGAGAAGTGGGGACATGTAAGTTCCTAACATCAATCAATGTTTCAGAAACCAGGAGCTGATGTGTTCGTGATAGGTTTACAACATGTTCCACAGGCAATATATGCATGCTATGCTTATGGATAGTGCTGTAGCTGAACCAGAAAAGCCGGGAGTACCAGCCAAGTTACTCGTCAATCACAAGGTGAGTGCTAAGCATACTTGAGCATACAGAGACCAAATTGAACCTTTTTAATTGACTGTACTTTGTTAGTGCTCTGGACTTGACGCCGAGACTGGAACTATCACATTTGAAAATGGAAATACTGCAGTACATGACGTTGTCATTGGAGCTGACGGTATTGGATCCGCGATTCGTTCCCTCATTGGCATCAAAGTTGAGAGGAGAGCGGCCGATGCCAGTTGTCTCCACGCCAATGTAGACACCGAAGAAGCAGTCAAGCTTGGCTTGGTTGATTACTCGCAGAATAGTGCCCTCGAATACTGGGGAGGTCTGAATACCCATTACAAGATCGTTCTTTCGCCTTGTAATGGCGGTAAACTACTATCTTATTACTGTTTCTTTCCAAGAGAGAAGGGCGATTATTCCAACCAGGCATGGGGTGCGAAAGGAACAGTAGAAGAACTTCTTGCTCCTTTCCCAGATCTGGACCCCCAGGTTTACAAACACTTGTCAATCGGAAAGGATGTTGCTCCCTGGAGATTGTGGATTCACGAACCCTATCCATACTGGCAAAAAGGCAATGCTTGTGTCATAGGAGATGCAGCTCACCCTGTAAGTTGTGACCCAGCTGGCGTTAAGCACTTTTGAAACTGATTTGTATTGCAGATGATGCCAGATCAAAGTCAAGGAGCATGTATGGCCATCGAAGATGCAGCAGCTCTTGGTATTATTTTCAGCGAAAAACATTTCAACGGCGATGTGCAAGAGGCCTTGAGAGTTTATGAGCAAGTCAGAAAGCCCCGTGCAACACGTGTACAAGCCGCTGCTGCAAAGGCACGAGAGAACATCAATGAACGTATTGGTGAGATTACCCAACTTTCGATGCATTTCTATATCCATGACAACAGCTAATATGAATACAAATCTTAGGTTTCTCTAGTAACACCAACTCAGCAGTATACAAAGTTTCTGACGAGAAGGCGAAATTGACGATTGAAGAAATGAATGAGTAAGTCAAATATTCCCTTTGATCAGACAACCTCCATTGACAATCAAGCAGATATGACATGCACGATGATGTCCTGAAGAATTATGCGCAAGTTAGAGGAGAGGTTTCTTGAATGAAGAAATTTTAATTATCGGAATCTTTTGGCAGGGGAACAATCAATAGAAGGCTCCCACTGTGTTCTTCATTTTTTACATAGGCACAGTTTAGCATTGGAGTTTTGGTGTTCGGGCTAGCGAATGTGTATAATCGATCTTATAATTTTATTCGATCACCTCCACATAAGAATTGTTTCAAATTACCTAGATAGCCAGCTGTGAAATATAGAGTTATTGGCTGTGTAATGTTGTTTTATTGTGCAATCGAATCTTCGCGAGCCCGGTTCTAATGTAAGAGGATGTATCCTCGCAAGAGTGACATAGAATCTTAAGTCCCTATCTAAATAATTGACAACAGGACGATAATGTTGAAGAAAGCCTTATGAATACCTAAAATATGTATCAATTTGAAGGAAAATGAGTGTCTCGGTATTGGGGATCATCATCAAACTCGGAATGATTAGATATTATCCCTTGGAACGCCTCGTCAAAACTCGCTTCTTCGATGAGAGAGTGCCATATATTCTATGATAGGTATGTTAGCATTATTTCGATAGAAAAAGACGGATGAGAAAAGAGCAACAACAAACCCAATCAATATCCAAATCATTCGGGTTCTCAAACATCCCTTCTTCGAGAAACAACCTGTCATTCAAACGCTGAGTTGGCTCGGTGATATCGATTTCATTTTTACAACAGGGGCGTCAATTTCCAGCTGAGCGAGACTAATCTCTTCTGACGGCTTGAAGTTAAGGAGCATATTCGTCAGAACCCGATATACCCTCCAAGCTTCGTCGGAAGTATTTCGAACATCTTTCCATATTTTCCACGATTTTCCTAGTGCATCTAGGTGCAAGTCGGATCCATGATCCAGTGTTGTATTCGCGTTTATGTCTTTTCGTTTGCGCTCCAGATTAAGGAAAAGCATCATAGAGGCAAGAGTAAAAAAATTGCCTAGCCTGCGCGACCTCGTAACAACGTGGTACATAGCTTGGGATCTCTGGTTTGGTTCGTTGAGAATCATGCAAGATATGCTGTTGAGATAGAATTGCTAATGATGACGAAATATATCTGTCTCGAGAGATTTTGTATTTATCATTGATTCGAGCCCTAACAAGGCCGCTAACCCTCTACTAACTAACATCCTTCGATGACCCGAAAACATTTGATGGACAAGAGCATTACCATACCTCCAAGCTCCTGGCACACATGTTTCTCTGGAACTTTGTCGACTATGTGTCAGCCAAGGATGTCATAGTCAACCTTGCAGACCCAGCTTGATGCCGAGGAACAGGACTAGGACGAGATGCTGAGGGGGCAATGAAGGTATTCATAAAGCTCTTCGGTCTTCTTGGTAGAACACTCAAGGTTGGCGCGTCATGTTTCGTCGATGCAGTAGTGAACAAAGGCGAAGAATCTCATAATTGTTTTCTCATGAGTTGACAGATCCATCTGTAAGTTAAACCTACTTACTCTATTAACTGCGATCATTCACTAAAGTATCACGCAGCTTCGCCACGCTTCTGTACACACCCGGAGGGTAAGAAGCTGAGGCAACGTGTTTGGGAGGAGACGCTAGCTGAACTCCAGTTCGCTGGAGTTCGTGATATTCTTGAATCTATGAGAAGATTATGAAGGATTTGGGGGCATATCTTCCTATCCACCACTTACGAATAGCTTTTTTTCTCCTTCTTTTTTTCGGAAGAGAGAGAGATAAGGCCACCTATGTATGTCGCGACGCTAGATTAGTTTGCATTAGATCTTATTTATGCATATATTCAATATTTTTCGAATGTTAAAAACAAGAATAACATCTCAAACCCCTTACCGTATTGATCATTACAATTGGCAAACAGAGTTGACAAGCGACTACGCGATCCATCAACTAAACTGCTCAGTAAGCCAAAGATTCACGTCTGATTCTAGCCCACACTTCTTCAAAAATATTCAGTTGCTTTCATTTCCATATAATAATTCCCAACATTTGTATATAAAATGTTCGGTCGAGATTCGACCGTCTGAGGCCAGAATCAACTTATTTATTCTCATCCTCTTTCCCAACTTCCTCAATTCTTTATTTCTTCATTCTGATCTTTGAACCCATCAAGTTTGAACAAATTTTTGGCATTATCCCTTCCAATGTCCATCTTAACCTTCGGACTCAAGTCCAATCCGTCAAACCAAGTACACGCATCCTCATAACACTCGAATGGATAATCTGTCGAAAACATGATGTGATCCGACCCTAATTCTTCAATACAGTATTTCAGTGTCGACGTCGAAAAATGTCCACTGGTAGTAATCCAGATATTCTCGCGGAAGTAATCATAAATGCTCTTCTTAATAGGCAATCCCAATGGTTTCTTGATATCCTCAAACCAATGATTTATACGCCACAAATCAAAAGGAATATGTTCTCCCAAATGTCCAACGATAACCTTCAATTTGGGATTTCGATCAAAGACCCCATTGACTACCATCCCCATCAAATGTAACGAAACATTGTTCGCAAAACTCAATGGGGGTCCAATTAACCACTTACGATCTGCCCATAACGTATCAAACACCTTTCCCGTGGGCTGTTTAGGGTGCAAATAAAAGGGAACATCCAGATCTACACACTCTTGCCAGAAAACATCCCATTCCGGTTGATCATAGAAAATAATCGATTCTCCATCACTAGCGATCTGGTTATCATTCACCAGCGCTCCTTTGAAATCATACTCGGTTACGCATCTCCTCAACTCTTTCGCAGCCACAGCGGGGTCATGCATGGGTAATGCGGCAAAAGATCCATAACGATCCGGATAATCCTTAATCTGCTCATAGATGTAATCATTGGTAAGAGCAGCAACACGGAGAGCTTCAGCTGGATCGACAATATCTTGAATTCCGGGTGCGGTATAACTGAGAATATGGAAGCCGACACCATGTTTGTCGGCGTATTCGAGACGTATATTCTTCACATCACTGATTTCTCGGACGTGTTTGTCTGCGTCTACAGCGAAGAGACCTGCCCACCATTTGGCCTTTTCGGCGAATTCTGGGAGGTTGAAATGGTCTTCGATGGTGATCTTCCCCAACATGTTGAGAGTGATTTTGCAATTGTTGCTGCACTTTGAAAGCAATGCGGTAGGCTTAGGAAGAATTGTAAAAAGAAGTAATTAGATGATTTGAGAATCAGAGAATCAGAGAATTTTTGTGTTCAGATTGATGTAACATATAAGAATCTATCAATTCCAACAATCTGGGGTAAATTTATAGTCCCGCCAGCGGAAAGGAGCACTTGACTCCGGCCCGCCTCCTTTTCCCCGCAACGTGGGGAAGAACAAAGTCAATAAGCTTACCCGCTGTTGAATAATGAACTCAGCTAACTCAGCCATACGACTACGGCTGTCGGCACATTTTTGAAACGCATCCAATGGCTCGTAAGGTTTTGTATCTCGTGTCTGATACGAACAAGACATCGTCATCGCTTACTCGTGGTCGATGTGTATGAGCGGCCCGCGGTGTAGCGGATAGGGTACGGGTAATAAGTGAAGTGGACATGGACGTGCAAAGAAGAATGAATCATGAATGAAGCTATTCCACTTTTCTAATGATTCATCACAGATTACGCATGATCATCGGCAATATTGACAAAATCTCTCATTGTTGCACATCTGAATTGACTCGTTTTTTTTCTCGCTCAGGTGCTTCAAGAGCCTAGATCTCCCCCTTGCAATTTGTTGCATATCTAAACAATGAATCGTAAGACGGAAGTGGGGATTTAATATATTTTAATCATTTGAAAGTAATATGTTGCAAGTCTTAAAATTTTGAGTTTGACTCGCAAAATACAAAAGATTTGAGGCTTGTGGATGGAATTTGAGGTGAGCTGAAGCATCGTAAGAGGAACTGTTTGTCATACTAAATCGTCTCACGATTTTCTTCCTTCCCTTTGCTATGGACGCATAATTTTCTTTAAATTTCTTTAATAGCGTTATTTTGGCCAGCAAACAAGGTATAAAATAATATCAAAGCCATATCAATTTAATTCCCACCTACAACAATATTAGGATGTAGCGTTTTCGTTCCGTAAACAGGCTTTTTAGTGATATCGTGCGGCATAGCCACAACCTCATCGCCCACAATAATTTTGAGAGTAGGTAATGAAGTTGCATGTAATGGTGTATTGTCAAGCTGAATATCTATCAGCGCAGTGTCCTAATTTCTCGACACCGAAAGGAAATATCCAGAGACAAAACTCACCAGCTGTGCTCTCCACCTCAAGTTCTTTTTCAAGAATTCTTCCGTCCCTTCGCCATTCCCATCGTCATCTTGCCCTTTGTAACTACCTCCAATAGCAGGCTCCCTCAAAATAACAATCTCATCATAGGCTAATGCTTTCGTCGCATCATTAGAAACAGCACCCGGCGGAGGTAAAATCACTAGACTTCCTACCAAACTTTCACTTCTCCCCCACTCCTCTGGACTCTCTGGTATCTTGCCTAGAAAAAGTCGAATAATAAACCGCTGGCCTTGAAGATCCAATTTAGAGACAGTGAGTGCTGCGGTCCATTCTCGTAGTGTTTTGTTCGTGCTTGGTCCTTCGTGTTGTTTTTCTGAGAAAAGTTCTCGACTATCAAAATTCCGCTTCTTAATCTTGGAATTGCTTCCATCTGAATTGTATAATGCATTTACTCTTCCTGTCACATAACTTGTCATTTGAGCAGCTGTCATATTCCAATCCATAATTTCTGGATAACTATACCCAAGTTGCGACATCGATCTGCAAGTATTCGATGTGAAAAAGCTGGAACTGGTGATAGCAAAGGGCTTCAGAGGAGAAGAGGCAGTATCAATGGTCCCAGGGGTGATAGTGTACGTGCCATACCAGTCGATTAAGCCGGTAATGAATGTAGAAGGATTAATGGCTTGATACATGGAGAGAACTCGGTCGACGTTTGCGTGGTGGAGCCAGCTATCCAGGTCAGCCGCTGTGTATGTTTTATAATAGATAGGGAATGTTAACAGAAATAAAAGGAAAATATGGGCTTTTACAATATAGGATCAAATCCAGAATAGCTCAGAAAGGACATATGTCCATAAGCACCTCCTACAAGAACATGTACCGCACCGTGCGGTGACTCTATACTCGCCCCCGAGACTGCCATCGTAGCAAAGCTATTGAAATTACTTGATTTCATGATTGCTGTCCACTGTCACCGCCCTCATCAGCATTCTGATATTTCTTTTTTATT